GCTCAAGTTGCAGTTGAGCATCCTTTCTTTTTATGGTATACAGAATACAGTTGTTATAGATAGCGTTCTTTAATAATGGATCGGATGGGATAATCTTCTTCTGCAACATAGAGTAGGAGGATGGGGGAATAGGACTGAATTAAAAAAAAAAATCAGATCGGAGGCGGAGAGGATATGATTTTCCAATAAAATAAATAATGGGTGTCGTCATCAAGTACAAGTCGTCTTTCCGACAAGGAAAGAGCAACCAACTTTCAAGTTTTCAGACCTTACTGGAGAAAGTTAGTTTGAGAGCGCTGAATGCCACATGGAATGGTAGATGAAATGAAATTAGCAGTGGTTATCGCGGCATATAAATTAATTTGTTAAGGTTATGTAAATGGTTAAATTTTTATTTTAATTTAAATATTAAAAATAATTAATATTAATTTATAAACAAAATTATTAAATATCATAATTAATTAATGTTTTTAAAATTATAAATTAATAAAATATCTGAAAAATTGTGTACCCCGTAACAAACTTACGAGGGGCCATAACCACAGAATGAAATTGCCTGCAAAACGGGAAATATTATTTCATGACAATAATCCTTTCGGCATTCATAGCCACGAAAATTAAGTTTTGCTTCGCTCATCTTTATTCTGTTTTTCTTTCTAGAGGATAAACACTGGGTGTCCAAAGTCCATGTTTTTTCCTTTGTTTGTGGTTTAGGCATGTGGCCGGCTTGGGATAGAGAGACACAACTATGAGCGTAGGTCGTGGATGGGTTTGGTGAAACTTGAGGCTTGGTCTGGTCAAAAGATTAGTCAAATTTTTTATTTAATTTACTCCCCCCCCCCCCCAAAAAAAAAAAAAGAGAGAGAAAGACAAAGCATATCGATTTAAAATCTGGAGCAAATTGAGATCAAATTGAACATCATATATTTGATAATTGATATGGTTACGAGTCTTGATACCGAGAATCGAGGCCCACCGGTTCGGACAAAGAACCGGTCTAGCCTGAAGAAAAATAGTGTAAGGAATGGATGTTTGAAAACAATATTGAATTGTATTTCTGTTAAGTTATATTCTGTACATTGAGTAGCTGTTATATACAATCATAAGAACAAATCTAGATCCTATAGTTATGTATACAAATAAGGAATATAAATATTATTTTCCTAATACTGCAAAGACGTTGCCTTTCAACCATTGTATTGGTCTTCCCTTAATCTGTGCTCACGGGATTGATTAACTGCTTTCTTTATTCCTTGATTAGCTATATTAGCTGAGTCTCCTGTCAACTGTTTCCTTACATGCATTGATCCTGCCTTTCTGCCTTCATACTCCCCCTCAAACTGGAGGTAGGTGATTCAACCAACCCTAGTTTGAATTTCAATAGTTGAAATTGTGCTCGTGGAAGAGGTTTTGTGAGTAAATCTACAACGTGATCTAAACTAGGAGTGTACTTGGTGATTAAAGTACCAAGAGCCACTTTTTCTTGAACAAAGTGATAATCCAACTCAATATGCTTTGCACGGGCATGAAACACAGGATTCACAGACATATGTAATGAGCTAATGTTATCCAAGAAGAGTTGAGGTGGATGAGGAAAGGAAACTCCAATGTCCCATAGAAGATAGGTGATCCAAGTGACCTTAGCTGTGGTAGATGCCAACGCTCTATACTCTACTTCAACAGTTGAACGAGCAATGGTAGATTGCTTCTTCAAAGACCAAGAAATATAGTTAGCTCCAAGAAAGACACAAAATCCCGTGGTGCTTCTTCTAATAATTGGACATCCAGCCCTATTTGAATCACAAAAGCCAGTTAAGGATAATGTACTATAAGAAGAAAATCAAAGAGCATGATGCATAGTCCCCTTAATATATCTTAAAATATGCTTAACTTGTTAGAGATGAGCAATAGTGGGCTATTGCATGAATTGGAAAACTCTATTAATAGCATGACATGTCAATTCTAGTAATTGTCAGATATTGTAGGGCCCCAACAATTTTCCTACACTCTTATGTATCCATGGGATCATTGACTCGTGGAGTAATTGTGTCTTTAGCTGCCAATGGGGTAGCAATAGTTGCAACTTCAACCATGGAAGCTCGAATAAGAACATCTCTAGCATATTTAGCTTGTCATAGAAAAATTCCCCCTAAGAATTTGCTAACTTCAATACTTAGAAAGCAATTAAGAGATCCGAGGTCCTTAAGGGCAAACTTGCTACTAAAATTGTTGATAACTTCTTGTAGTAATGTCAATGAGCTGGTTGTGAGGACAATGTCATCCACATATAATAAAAGTAATATAGTGTCCTGACCATTACGAAGAATGAATAAAGAGGAATCTGCTCTACTGTAAGAGAACCCTATTTTTAAGAGTTGGAAAGTGAATTTGTCAAACCATGCTCTTGGAGCTTGCTTGAGACCATAGATAGATTTGGTAAGCTTACACACATAGTCAAGATGAATCAGATCTTCAAAGCCAGGTGGTTGGCGCATGTACACTTCTTCCTTGAGGTTGCCATGGAGAAAAGCACTCTTTACATCTAGTTGCGTGGCTAAGACAAAGTTGTAGCAAGAGTAATGACTAGCTGCAAGGTTGTTGGTTTTAGAACATGACTAAAAGCCTCCTCAAAGTCCACTCCTGGTACCTGAGAGTATCCTCGTGCTACCAATCGGGCCTTAAATCTATCAACACTACCATCAGGATTCAGCATTGTTTTAAACACCCACTTTGATCCAACAATATTAGTTTGTGGTGAAGGTGTAGGAACCAATGTCCATGTGTTGCTTTTATGAAGTGCCTCTAGTTTTTCCTTCATTACAACGACCTAATGTGGAAGTTGCAATGCTTTCTTTACTGTTCTGGGTTCTCGAATGTCAAAATTTGCATCAATTAGAAAAGAGATATTAGTGGTCATAACATGAGTAGATTTTGGAAACACAGTTTGCACATGTCCTATGTGCTTCCCTGATTTTGTTCTAGTCACCATAGGATGAACAGATGCTGAAGTAGTATTTTGAGGAGGTGGTGGTGCTCCTTAATGTTCTAAGCTAGATGTCTCTAGTGTGGATGAAGGATGTAAATTGTTTTGTCCTCCTTGACCAATACTTGATGTAGATGGACTGGCTCTCCCAGCTTCCTGCGTATTAATCATGGCTAGAGAAGATCCAAGATCTTCTAGAATCCATGCTGTTGTTGATAAATCTTGCTAGAAGTCTGTGTCATTATGGTTTGAGCACAGACTTTCCTCATCTATTGTAATTATTGGAGTTGTGCTAGGTGCTGTGTTATTGTCTTTCTCTTTGTCAGTACCAATAGCTATAGAGATTGGTGTAAAACTAGGCTCATCTAACTTTCTTGAGGGCTGTAAGTGTGGGGAAGCATGTGTCCACTCATCATAATTTGGGTATTTTCAAAGCTCTCCACCTGTACTAACGTTACTTGAAAGCTGTGACATATTAGTATATGGAAGAAAGTTTTCATCAAAAACAACATGCCTTGGTATATATACTTGTTGAGTAGGAAGGTGCAAACATTTGTACCCTTTGTGAATTGGACTATATCCGATAAAGACACAAGGTAAAGACCTTGGTTGAAGCTTATTTGCAGCATAGTCTCTAAGATAAGGAAAACAACGGCATCCAAACACTTTTATCATAGAATGGTTAGGAACCTTACCATAGAAAAGATAATAAGGACTGTTATTTTTCAATACAGGTGTAGGCATCCTGTTGATAAGAAAGACAACAGTAGAAAAGCTATCTACCCAATGGCGTGGTGATATGTTAGCATGAATTAGCATTGTCAAAACCATATGCCGGTGTTTTCTCTTTGCGATTCCATTTTGCTCTAGCGTGCTAGGACAAGACATTTGCTGTTTGATGCCACACTCAACTAGGTAATTGGTAAATACCTTACTGGAAAATTCACCATCACCATCACTTTGAAATATCTATATATTTTTGTTAAACTGAATTGCTACCATTTTTTGGAATTTCTAAAACACATCAAAGAAATTAGATTTCTTATGAGGAGGATCAAACCATGTATATCTACTGTGGTCATCTACAAAAATAATATAGTAAATAAAATGTTTTGTAGATTGAGTTGGAGAAGGTCCCTATAAGTCAGAATGAACTTTTTGAAATAAAGATGTAGCTCTTTCATTGCTCCTATTAAAACAAAGCTTACAACTCTTCCCCATTTGGCATGCAGTGCACAAATATGGGGTTTTATTCCATTTCAAGACTACAATATTGTTTTTGGAAGCTAAAGTTTTTAAGACATTAGAATTTAGGTGTCCTAATCTCTGGTGCCAAATAGAGTCTGTGGCTTTGTTTGAAATGGCTGTAAGAGCAAACTTCTCTCCTTCTTCAAGAGCATACAACTGTCATTTCCTAGTTCCTTTTGTGAACACCGTCTGTGTTACTTGGTCTTTAATCACAAAACCATCAGATGAGAATTCAAATATGCAAGGATTATCATCAGTAAACTTACTAACTGAAATAAGATTCTTTTTAAGATTAGGAACAACAAGAACATTATTCAATTTTAAAGGGCCAATATATGTTGTACCAATATGTGATATATGTAATGGGGTGCCATCACCAATGAAAACCTTTTGGTTTCCATGATAAGGTCTCTTGAAATGAAGTTTACTTGAATCTGTAATCATATGATCAATAGCACCTGAGTAAATGTAGGTATTTTGGTCTTTGTCATCCATCATTGTGAGTGCTGCAAGTGCTTGTGGTAGCTCCTCACTTTGATATGAATGATCAAACCTGTACCAGCACTTTACTGCTGTATGACCTGTAATTCCACATATTTGACAGGGATTCTCACCTTTTTGTTTATTTTTTGGTTGCAAACTTTGAAGCATGGTTTGCTGAGGCATGGTTTGCTGTGGTGATGGGTTGTTGTTCATCCTATTGTTTCTGTTATGATAGTTAGACCAGCTATGATTGTAATTTGCAGCTTGGACAAATCCTCTTCCATGAGAATTAAAGTGTCTGTTATTGTATCCTCTGCCTCAATTGCTTCTCCCGCTTTGTGCCACAAACACTCGAGAGTATGCTGGTTCCTTGTCCTTGCTTTCTTGTTCTGCTGCTTGTAAGTCCCTTTCATTATTTTGCAATCCTGTAGTGTACAGGTTGAAGGTGGGATATGGTGCCTTTGATAAAATTGCAAGGTTGTACGGTTGATATCTGGTTGCAACAACTCTAGATAATTGAAACACCTTGTCTAAGTCATTGAGAGGCTTGCAGATTGCAACAAGCCTATCACAGATCCCTTTGAATTTCCTAATGAAGCTTTCAATTGGTTCATTGTCTCCCTTTTTTATTGCTAACTGCCCTATGAGATGCAACTCGTGTTCTTTGGTTAAACCTAGATAGTGCTCTTCAAGACATTTCCAGATTTGAGATGCTGTATCACATCCAACGACCAGACTCAATGCCTCCTCATTCATTGTCCCAAGTAACCAACTAGTCAATAATCCATCATTATTTAGCCATATATCAAAGTTTGGATTTGGCTCTTCCTTGCTCTCCTTTGTGATGTATTTTTTTGTTGCTCCTCCTTCAAGGTGATGCATTAGTTGGGCACTCCTAATTAATGGAAGCATCTGTGATTTCCAAAGCAAAAAATTAGAGCTAGACAACTTCATTAAGACCAAGCTTGCCATTTGCTAGAAGCCTTGAATGGTAAGCACACTCTTGTTTTTAGCCATGAATATAATCTGATGGATTTGATGAGAAACTCCATTTTGACTATTTCAAAAGAATGATTTTGTTCTAGAATAAAGAAAAGACAAAGTATTCAGATGCAAGTAGTAACCTGCTTTGATACCATGAACAAAAACAGTGCAAGGGAAAGATGTCTGAATACAATACTGAATTGTATTTATGTTAAGTTATATTTTGTACATTTAGTAGCTGTTATATACAATCATAAGAGCAAATCTAGATCCTATAATTATGTATACAAATAAGGAATATAAATATTATTTTCCTAATATTGCAAAAACGTTGCCTTTCAACCGTTGTACTGGTCTTCCCTTAATCTGTGCTCATGGGATTGATTAACTGCTTTCTTTATTCCTTGATTAGCTCTGTTAGCTGAGTCTCTTGTCAACTGTTTCCTTTCATGCGTTGATCCTGCCTTTCTGCCTTCATATAGCCTACATAAGAGTGTATGAGCAGTTCACTAAGTATAAAATTTCTTTTAAGCTTTGTAAACAATGTCCACCTTTCACCAGAGAAATAATAATAATAATAATAATAATATCACTGCTTAATGTTTATTTTTTTTTTTTTGAGAAGTTTATAAGAAGATAATTATTTATAGTTTTTTAATCTCAACATAAATAAATTGTTTTTTATCAGATTAAAAAATAATAATCTTAAAATACACATAGATTTAAATACACCCTCATTATTAAACTAAAAAATAAATAATATTTCATCAAAATCTAGCTGATCATATAGTTGAATTTTTATGAGCTCTTAAAAAAAAAAACTTTTGAGTATATATACAAGAATGTAGCTGATTTTCGTTTTTTTTTTTTCTCTCTCTCTCTCTCTTTTGGGTCTAAATTTTCGTTTCTATTTGTCACCCTTTAAAATGGAAAACAGAAATATGGGAAACCATGTAATGCGTTTCACACACGACACACAAAAGTGCCATTCATTTTTAGGTTGAAGAAGACGACAATACACAGGGTAATCTATGAATAATTATCAATTCATCATATCAAAGAAAAAAATAATGAAGATGAACTGCCGAAGGCACATGCACATTATCACGTTGCAAACTAAAACTATGAACAATTATTAAGTTATTTATTTTATTTTATTCTTCAAAATAAAATATAAATAGTTTGAAGCTAATACCTTCTCAATTTGATCAAAAGCTGATATAAGGCTGGCATTAAAGAATTATAAACAATATCAAAAACAAATTCCATTACCAACTAACCTCACTCCTTAAGTCATGGATACATAAGAATTTTATTCATATTACAGAGTGAAAAGTCAATAAATCTACTGTTTTATGTCATGTTATCAACAAATAATGTTAATAAATTATTTTTTATTAACAAACATACACTTATTTAAATACAAACTTTTACTGCTTAAGTTATTTATTTAAAGTCTTATATTTAGCAGTCGAGATTATATGAATCTGTCAAACAAGAATTAGTAAATAAAACGACAAAACATTCAATGTTAAATGACTTATCTTATTTAATAATTTAAATAATATTAGATTTAACTGTATATTTTTTACTGATGTATTTTTATCTTACCATTTGATTAGATTCTTATATGTCAGAAATTCATAAACGTTGAATTTTATGGCTGATCTTCAACATAATAATTGTCCCATTATCTATACATCACACATAAAATAGATTTTTTAAAAAATAATTTAAAATTTTAACAAAGTTACAAAGGTCATCTATAAGAGAGTTCCATCCCTCGTGATTACGGGTGACTAAACTTTTGTGCAACAGTGAAAGAACAGAGGAAGAGAGAGAAGCAAAATCTCAATTCTGTGAGAGAGAGCAGCAAAAATGGGTAGGAGCCCTTGCTGTTCTAATAAAGGAAAGAAGAGAGGAGCCTGGACTGCAACTGAAGATCAAATCCTTGCTGATTACATCAAGGTTCATGGCCAAGGAAAATGGAGAAAAATTACCAAGGAAACAGGTCAGACTCAGAATATATGAATTATGTATTTAGATCTTCCTAATCTTCCCTAGAAAATCCTTCAACTAATTAAGTAAATTTCCAACTTGTTCCCCCTGCAGGGCTCAAGAGATGTGGGAAAAGCTGCAGGCTTCGGTGGTTGAACTACCTAAGACCTGATATCAAGAGAGGCAACATCACTCAAGACGAAGAAGATCTTATCATCAGACTTCACAAGCTCTTAGGCAACAGGTCTTTTCATTTCTTATTGTAAATTTCTGTAATACCTTTATGGAATCAGTCTATATGGATTTTTGACACCATATATATTTCATGATTTTCAGGTGGTCTCTGATAGCAGGGAGACTTCCAGGGCGAACAGACAACGAGATCAAGAACTATTGGAACTCCTATCTGTCCAAGAAGGCATATGGAAACCAACCAAACTCTTCTAAACTCGAAAAGAAACCAATTCCGACAGGAGTACCTGGTCGTTGTTCGGGCAAAGCCATTACTGTTACTCCTCAGAAACCATCACTTGATACTAGAATTGAGCCTAATGATAATATAGCTGCAGAATCTGAGTCCAGTGACGGGTCACCGGGGTTAATGCGGTCTAAAGATGATAGCTTTTCAGAGCTTATGGCCGGTTTCTATTCAAGGGAAATGGGGTCACCGGAATTTCTTGCTCCTAATGATTTTTTAAATTTTAGTGATGAATTTGGAATATATGATCTGGATAACGTGACGAAAGATGATCAGCAGCCACATATGCACGGCGAAGCATTTGTGAATGCAGGGAAGGAAGTAGTAGAGAAGAACTGTGTTGAGGGGAGTATGGAGGATTCGGACTTTGGATCCCTGGCTGCTGCTTTTCTTGGAGTGGAAGACGATTGGATGATTTGATTACTGTTTCAGTACTGTTGATTGAAATGGGTGGGTTTTGGGTGTTTGTCGTAAGCCAATACTGTTAGGAATTGTTGTTTTCCTAATTATTGGACTTCCGTATTGAAGTTTTACACTCTTGTAAGGGAAAAATAAAAATGAATAATGCTATTGTGGCCGAGCCTGTCAAGCCGACAGACGGCCGAGCGTACGCGGCAATGCCACGTCCGTTTGATTCCTGATTGATTCCTGATTTTGAGAAAGGGTGTAACTAATTCAAAAGCCTTCAAGTTTATAGGACTATAACTTTCAAGTCCTTATATTTAAAAGACAAAATTTAAGCCTTTAAAACCAAACAAGATTACTTTAATTTAGGGCATTGGGGTTTATTGATTGTAATGATAGGGATTAGGTTATATTTTTAGGGTTGGAGGTTTAAAATATTAGAATTTAAATTTTTTAGAGTTTAAATTTTTTAAAATTAAATGTTTATTATGTTAAATAGAGTTTAAATTTTTGGGTTTAAATATTTAGGATGTTAGGGTTTAGATTTTTTTTTT